CGTGCATGAGCACGCGAAAATCACCTAGTATATAATATACTGAAATCTTAGAATTAAAGTTACTATTAACTTTATTAACAATGTTGAATTTTTAAATTTTCTATTTATTTTAGTTAATTTTGGTTTGATTGTGTTCTTATCATTTTTTTATGGTTATTAACATTTTTTTTTCAGTTTTATATTAGATTTAATTTATATAGTTTATTTTTAGAGTAGTATTAGCAATGTTTTAAAAAAAAATCTATTTATTTTAATTAACATTGATTTGATTTTGTTCTAATAATTTTTTGTGTTTTTGAAGTTTTTGTTTTAGTTTTATATTGGATTTCATTTATATAATTTATTTTTTCTTAATCACTAACATGAACTTTATGATTATGCCTTTATGTTTTAAAATATAATTTCTCTTAAAGAACTAAACTAAAAAAAATCTCAACTAAATTGACTCAAAACACAAACCAAATCGAATACAAATAAAACCAAAACTGAACAAGTAGAACTAAAATCGATCCAAACCAAACTAATTATAGTTTATTTTAATTGAAAAATATTTAGAACTAAATAAACCAAACCGAAACCATAAAATAACCCCAAGTGCCCACCACCCCTAACTTTTCAAATTTGGGAAAGTAATCATATTGACATGGGGTCAAATAAAATTGGTGGATCCATAATGTTCAAGATTTTGAAACCCAACATAAGTTATATAGATTGATTCAGAATCTTAAGCCCAACATATCAAACATTGTTTTATTTTAACAAACCAAAAACCCAACAACTTTAAAGTTAATTACAATAATGCCCGAATGAACAATACTTCCCGCCACCGCCATGGCCACCGTACCCATCTTCATCATCCTCATCATCATCATCACCACTTCTACTGTGAATCCACCACAACAGATTACTCAGAGAGTTCCCATCATCATGCCCATTCAACCCTCTAACCTTCTCCATCGCTCCCTCTTTATCGTAAATACTTTCCAACGCATACACAAAACCTTTCCACCCTTCTCCGACACCCTCTCTCCCCAACGCCGGCATAGTCCAGTTCACGAGCTGCTTCACGAACTTCACATCTGAGAACAGAATCTCCGACACTGGAAGCAACGGTAATAACTGTATCCCAAGCCGGCACTCTTTCCACTCCTTTGGCGCGAACCATAAGCCACTGTCTCTCTTCGTTGACCATAATACTCCCACCACACGATTCTCCGCCGTGAAGTCTGCCGGGTATATAGTGTCGCCTTCTTTCACCTGCCATCAAATCAAACCAAAGATAACCAATTAAACCAAGAAGATAAACCACATCGAACCAAATATAACCAAAATTAAACCATATTAGTTCAGATTTATATCTGAACCAACACAACACTGAACCGGATAGGATTCAATTTATTCCATTAGGTAAGTTCAAAAACTGATCATAAAACCGAAGATAACCATATCAAACCATATTCTTTCACCTGCCACCACCAAGAAGATACTTAAGTCTAACTTAAACCACATCGAACCGAAAATAAACCAAACTAACCATTTTCATTTGGATTTCTATCAATTAAACCATAAGTCTACAATATCAATCCAAACCAGAACCAAAAAATCAAACCGAATGTAGCATTAACCGGACTGGTTTGTATTTTGGTTTGAATTTGGTAATACATCCAAACGAAAATTACATTTTACTAAACCCAACCGTACCAAAGATAACCCAAGGAAACCAATTAACTTAGATTTATATCAGTTGATTGACCAAACTGAACCGAATATGAATCATTTGGTTAGTTAACTGATCATAAAACCGAAGGAACTACTACCCAATTTGGTTATCAGATTAAACATTCTCGGTTTCGCGCGGTTCAAATCAACTTATCCGGTTCAATTCAATTTTTATTCAGATTAAAAAAAAACAGTTACCTGCCACCACATCTTCGCGGCGTGAATCTCCAACGTCAAAACCGTAGAAGCAGCCGCCACAAGATGCGTATCACCATAAGCCAACCCCAACAACGCAGCCGAGTAATAACCATTCACAGCCTCACTCGTACTCTCCTGATTCCTCCCGTCAGCAAACTCCGTCAACCCACCCGCCCAAGAATGAAGCTTGAACAAATCAAAACACCTCAAACGCGGGTAAACCGAATCCGACCTAAAGCTCCCTCCTTTCTTCTCCTTCTTCTTCTTCCCCAACGTCATGAAATCCGCCATCAGAGCATACGCCTGAGGCCTAAACCTCTTCCCCCACAAAGGATCGATCTTTACCAACACGGCGATCGCGTAGAGGAAGTAGCCTAGATGGTAATGATGGTCGTTGTAAATCCCGAACCCGAAATCAGCTCCTGAGTCTCTCGACCCTTGCTTGGTGATCACGCCTCCCCATTTAGAGTCGTAGAGGAACCCGTTTGGTTCGAAACTCCCGTCAAGCCACGGCTCGATCATGTCCCTTAGATACTTCTTAATGGCTGGAATCACGTCGAGGTAGCAGACTTCTTCAGCTATTAAAGCTAACCTCGCGGCTCGCGCGATTAGCTTCGCGTAGAAGTAAGAAGAGTTCGTGACAGGAGCGGAGGAGTCTAACGCGTTGACGTCTTTGACGAGAGAGGAGATGATCTCTTCGTGGTGAACTTCTTTAACTCCTTTGATGGAATGCCACGTGACTGAAACGGGGTCTGGTCGTAGAACCCATGAGTCTCCGACGATGCCGACGAGATCTCCGTCGATGCTACGGTAACGGAAGTTTTCTAGGAGGGAGATTGAGCAGTCGTTGGTTGATAAGAGCTTGAGGTGGAGAGGGTGCGCGAGCATTAAGAGGTCTCCGTAGCCTCGCTTCTCCCAGTTATACTCCAAAGTGAACGGCTTCGTGAGATCAGCGTCGCCGGAGATTGGGTAGCAGCAGCTAAACCGGTCGAGGATTGATTCAAAATCGGGGATTGGATCAGGTAGAACAGCGAACCGGAGAATACCGGAGAATCCATCACCGCAGGTGATTGAAGAGACTCCGGTTTGATTTAAGTGAACCGGTGAAGAGGCGTAGATTAGCCAGGTTTGGTTGTTGTTGAGTTTTACTGTGTATTTGGTTGATGAGGTGTTACCGGAAAAGGACAGAACCGCGTGGATCGTTGAGATTGTGACCGTGGAGTTAGAGACCGAACAGGTGATGAAAGGGCTTCCTCTGACGAGGAAGAATCTGAGATTAGAGGAAGGGAAGTCTAGAGTGACGCCGAGATCGCTGAAGGAAGAGATGAGATGAGTTTTTCTTGAATGAGGATCGGATCCATCTGACCCGGTTATGGTGATGTCGGCGTTGAAAGGCTCGAAGATGAAGGCGGAGTTGTGGGAGAGAGTTGGGTATGAGATGGAGAGAGATGAGGAAGGGGATGGTTTGATGATGTAAGGGTGGAAGTACTCAGCTTGGTCGCCGTTTTTGAGGGTGAAGTTTTGGAAGAAGGAGTTTGTTGGGAGAGGAGTTGAGAGGAGATCGTGGCTGAAGAAGCGAGATGGGTCGGGTAAGACGGATGATTCGGATCTCGGGAAGAGAAACGGAGCGTTCTTTTGTCGGGAGGAAGACATCGTTGGAGTCGGCGGAGATGGTGGTTGAGAAAGAGGAGGAGTAGGTGGTGGTGATGGAGGTCTTGGAGGTCTGCTCTTATTAGGCTTTTTAAAGGGTTTGGTGACAAAGGCTTTGACCTTTCGCCTTACTTTCTTCAACATTTTTGCTTAGTCAAGAGGAGAAAGCGATAAATACGGATTTGGAAATTGAGTTAATTGTGACACGGTCGACACGGTCGTGACTCGTGGGGTTTGTTTGGTTAGAAAGAAAATTAAAAAAAGGATATTTTGTAAGTTTATAAGATGAGTTGGCTTATATGACAAATAAAAAGATGGTTTACAAGCTAAGGTGTTGGGAACGTGCAGGAGAGACTTGCTAGATGCTAAACCTAGACAAGATATTGATGTTATGCCCAGATGAACCAAAACAAAAACATTACAAATGTGATCTTGATTACAATATTTTGTAGAAAAGTATTTCTGTTTTGTAAAAGAAATCGTATATGTGATCGAATATTACAATGTTTGGATTGGTTATTTAACAAAATTCCTAGTTTGGTGGATAGTTTGGCAACTGTTTTGAGATTTTCTGATTTGATGTTTTGCTTAAGAATGAGGAAGAGGGTTGATTGCAAGCAAGGCATTTTACAAACACGCGGTAATGCATATTATTTTTGTAGGCTACTATTGCACCAACAGGAGAAGGATAAAGGGATGATTTAGTGGTTTATTTGTATGATAAGAAATGTTGCCGTCAATGCATATCTATATATCCCTAAAATGATACATTTTCATAATAAATCATCACATTCCTTAATTGACAATTTAAGTCTATATATTTTGTTTTTTTTTTTGACAACCTAAGTCTATAATTTTAGTTTATCAATTTAAGAAGTAAAAATGAACTATTTAACAAATTTCTAATAAGGTAGTTTATGAATATTCATTAGTCTTCGTTTAAATTATCAAAGTTTTCAAAGGCCTTTTGAAGGCCCATTTTCGCGTTCTCTTTTATTCAGTCCCAATTTAATCCAAACCGAACCAATGAGATATCACAAATTAAACCAAACCGGTTTAAACACCAACCGCTTCGGTTAGCTCTGCGATCGCCTTGTGAGTCCTCTCTGTGTTAGACCAAAGACACACGGAGAAGAAGAGGGAGTTATGGCGGGACTTCTAGCTTGGGCCGCCGACGTCGTCGGGAAAAACGGAAAAGACGGAAGCGACGAGAAGGATCGGATCCCATTAGTGTTCACAGAGGAGCAGCAGAGATACGTCGATGAGCTCGGCCGAAAAGCGACAACGCTCAGCCGTTCGATCCAAGATCTACGGCTCAGATTACCTCCACCTGATATCTCCCAGCGTCTCCCTCACCTTCATGCTCACTCCTTAGCCTCCAATGCAGCTCTCACTCTTCAGCTTGATTCGCACTCCGCTACTCGTGAACAGGTAACTTTCTCTTTGATTCGATAGAATTAGGATCGATATGAGAGTTATTGAGTATCTAATTTTTGAATAAATGGTGAAGCTGGATCTTGATTTTTTGCAATTAGGCGCAAATGAGAGAGCAGACGTTGGTGGAAGAGAATAGTGCGTATGAGAATGCGATATCAATCTGTGAGATAAAGATAGAAGAGAAGAGAGACGAAGGTGATTCTCTTCTTAGAAAGTTGAAGGTGAGTTACAAGTGTAGATAGTGTGATCTTGTTTTGATGTGAAAGTTGGTTCTTAATATATATATGGTTTGCAGGAGCTTGAAGATGTTGAGGAAAGCTTGAAAACTGAGCAAGAAGCTTCTCTAGATGAAAGGCATTCCAAAGGATCTGGTGAGTCTGTTATTCAGCCTGATGGGGATGGTAGAGATGGAGCTGATGCAGAGGGCATGAAGTCTGTGATGCTACAGAAGTTGGAGAGCAAAAAGAACGATTTGGTTAGTTTTCATTTTTTATCTTCAGTGAGGTATTCAACTTTCTAATCCTATATATCTGGATGTGGTGTAATTTTTTTTTATTCTGTAGAGTTCAATGGAAGATAAGGTTCAGGAGTTAGGGAGGAGTTGGGCTGTTATACAGGAAAGAGCACTCAAGCTGCCTTCTCCAGGTACTTCTTTTCATCAACTTTGTTCATCCTCTCACACGAGAAACTTCAATCTGATTTGTTGTTTAGGTTACTAGTTTATCACCATTCAGAACAATGTTAGATTACTTATTTTCAGTAAGAACCCAATAGAGATCTGTTTGTGGGTCTGATGGAAAGGTTGATAGCCTGGGAAGTTTCACTTTATCTGACTGGGAAGGTTTTGCTTTCACAGCTCAGAGAGAGAAGACACTGGATAAACAACTTCATACTCTAATCGAGCAATTAGCTGCAAAGCAGGTCTATCTCAAGCTATATCTATCAATCTTCATTTTTTTCCCTTTAGACTGTTTCTTAACAGAAACCTTTGATATGCCTATCAGGCACAAGCAGAGGGGATTGTTGGTGAGATTCGTTCAAACGAGATGGAGTTAGAGAGACTGAACAGTTTGTGTAGAAGATATGAGAGCTTTAACGTTGAGGGTAACGCTGCAAGGAACAGATTCAAAAGAACAAATTCAGAAAGAGGATTTGGATCAGACCATGAAGTTGATGCTCATTCCTACCTTCCATATTCAACTGCCTCAAGAAATGAGAGCCAAACAAGGCTTATGTATCTCAGGTCAGCTTTTGTCGTCTACATTTTGGCTCTGCACGTCCTGGTTTTCATCAAGATTTCCTTTTGAGATATTATGTACGCGCTTTTAGTTTGCATATAAAATTTATAGGCATAATGATAATTGTTCGCAAATGTTTTTTCCGTCTTTGCATATGAATATACATAGCAATCAAGTTCTTTTGTGTATTTTAGATATTGGACTCATCTACTCATTCTTGAGGGATGGTTTTTACTTTTCTGTCTTCATCATTTGCAGCAAAATATCATTCCAAGAATCAATTGGTCCCGGGAGGCACCAATGAATACAATCATTTCTTAAACTCAACTCTGCAGTCTGCAAATGGCCATATCTCCCAGGATGCCCATCTGGTCGAAGTAGCATTGCTTGTGTCGTGTCCATCAACCTCAGTTTCAAACCCTTCTTCTTCATCTCTTCTTCTGCAGCTCTAAATTCCTCTAGTTGAATGTCGTGAATCTTGAGATCTGCACCTTCTGGTATCGTCTCGTTTCTTCTATAAGGTCGTGTCCTTACACAGTCCCCACCTTTGTCCCAAGGTCCACCTTCAAAATGTTGAGGAGAAAAACTCCTCAATATTGCCAAACCCTTGAAATTTTCGAGTATAGCTCTTAGAGATGTTCTTAAAGCCTTCCTGTATCCATAGTAAAGAGGCAGCTGAGTTGTGTTTGGTAACGCACAGTATTGGCATCCGGAGATAGTTTCATTTTCGTAGAAAATAACAGGCCGGTAAAACCAGTGGCCTGATGATATAACCAGGTAGTCAAGCTGGTTGATCTGGCTCGTCCACGTGGTGTCATACTCGTCCAAGTATAGGCTGAAGAGGTTACAGTCCGGGTCTGTAGGGTCAGCTTTAGTAGTTTTCACTAGAAATGGTGACCACATGGCGTGTAGAGTGAAGTTATAGGATGTGTAGTTCCATACTTTGAAAGCTTTATCTGGTGAAGAGGAAATGTCTTCAGGATATTCCACCTACAAGGAAATGAAAAGGGTCAACACGTTGAGAGATGTTGGTTAGCTGGTGATCATTGAAAACTAGATTAGATTTTTTTACCCTAGAGAGAAGGCATATGAGAGACTGAGCTTGGTTTCTGCTAATGGAATCACCAACAAACCCCATGGATTTGCCTCTAACCATTTCTAAGAACTCTCGAGGATCAAAGATGGGGAGGTCGCAGTCGTCAGGCTTCCACCTCCATCTCAGGAACCCGGTGTCTGGTCTCCCAAACTTCATGCAGTTCTGGTGCTCCTGTATCGCCCAGCAAGTCGTGTTGTTATAGTATGGAGCTTCTTCGTTTGGTATCCATTCCCCTTTGAAAAGATCACACCTCTGCTCATTCTCATCTCTGATCTGCGTCCTTGATGTTGACGTAGCGACTGGGGATGAATTCAGATGACTGAGATGCATATCATCCGATGGAGGGGGACCATTAGTCTCGGAGGATGAGACTGATAGAGTTAAGATTGGGTTTGCTAGGAGAGAATATAAAGCAGGGACAATTGTTAGGGAGAATAGAATAAGTGATAATGTAAGTATAACTCGTGGTGTTCTTTGAAGCACTGCAAACAAAGGAAGCTCCATCGTCTGCTACAAGACTAGGGTGCCTGGTCTTATACTCTTATCATCTAAATATGTCTATATACAATTATGGTTGGTAATGGTGAGCTCTTGGTGATCAAACAATGAGGAAATTTCTTGGCTAAGTCACTAAATTCGACTAAAAAACAGAGCAGGAAGACTAGTGGTTTTGGTCATTAGGACATCATTTTCGACTCCAGTCTTTATCCTTTTTGTCTTCTTCTAGATTCACGCGTAATATGAAAAATACAATGAATGTTCACAATTAAATTTGTTAATTACTTTTATGATACATTTTAATTAATCACTTCAAATATTCTCAATTAATATTTTAGAAAAAAATATATAAAAACTGCTTAAAATATAGGAAAATTATTTTGTAGAACAAGAAAAAAAATTTAGAAAATCCTCCTATATATTCTCAATTAATATTTTAGAAAAAAATATATAAAAACTGCTTAAAATATAGGAAATTTATTTGGTAGAACAAGAAAAAAATTTAGAAAACCTTCCTATATATTAAATGAGAAGACACAGTAATGAATTTTGCCTAGACATCTTCTATAGATGCAATGCAGAATTAATTCTTTTACTTTGATTGGTTGTTGGTATTTGAATTTTTATTTATTTCATTATAGTTTTTTAGGAAACTAATCATAGAATCACATAATCTAATATATATTACCAAACAAATAATTAATCACTTTAAATACATATAGAATTTGTTTATAGAAACAATTAAATATCACAAATTCTATTATAAAAATATAATATGCATATAAATATATATTATATTACAGAAATAAGTATATAAACAATTTTAAAGTATTTTTATCAATAATGGATAAATAAATCATACATGACATATAACTAATTAACCTACACCTAATAAAAAATTTTATACTCATTCACTATATATGTATTTTTAAAATATTTCTAATGAATACAAAACAGTCGAATGTACAATTTAAAAAAAAAATCATTTTTTAAAAAAAAATATTGATACTATAGTTGAGTTATCACTTTCAAAGATGATTTAAGTATCATTTATATTTAGAACATAAAATTATATGGTAAGTCATTTTAGAAAAATATTAATAAATGTAAAAATTTATTATAATAAATTTTCAAAAATCAGAACATTATACTAATACGAGACTAGAGTTAATACTTTATTTAATATAGCTATGAGTATAATAAAATTGACATGTTTATTTTTAATAAGAAGAAAATTAAAGAGATATAAATTAAAAAAACATATAATATTATGAATCTAGTCTTATTTAAGGACACGGTGGAGTATATAATTTTATACATATATAATTATGGTGGCTAATATTGAACTCGTGGTGATCAAATAATCATGGACAACATTTGAATAATCATTAAATCGAATTAAGAAAAAAAACAGAACAGGAAGAGTTTTGGGATTGGTCACTAGGACATCATTTTCCGAACTTGAGCCAGTTGTCCTTTGTCTTCTTCTCTCTTAATCATAGCCAATAAGAAGTCATTGAGATTATCTATCGGACCAGGCAAGCACCAGTGGACACAGTCATTGTACAACGAAACATTAGCCTCAGGAAGATGTCCGTATCGGCTCGGGTGACCATCAGGTCTAAGCCACATAGCTTGAGTCGTATCTAGTAGTCTAAACCTCTTTCCTTTCCTCTTGGCTTCTTCTTTTGCTCTCTCAAACTCTTCCACCTGAATCCTATGTAGCTTCATCGTCACATCGTCTTGAGCCTCGTTCCTCTGATAAGGTCCTTTCCTCAAACAGTTCCCTCCTTCGTTCCATAACCCACCTTCAAAATGCGATGGTGCGAATGTTCGTAAATACATTACACCCTCGAATTTATCCGAGTCCAAGATTGCTTTAAACGCTGTTCTAAACGCTTTTCTGTAGCCGTAAAACATGGAAAAATCGGTTATGTTTGGTAATTGGCAATAATGACAACCAATGATGGTTTGGTTCTCGTAGTAAACCGATGGACGGTAATGCCAATGGCCTGAGGAGATGATCACGTAGTCAAAGTCTCCTATCTCTGCTGTCCAACGCTCGTCTGCTTCATCAAGGTATAGATCAAAGACACTATGCTCTGTCTTGCCCGGTTCGGGTTCTGTGGACTTTACCAAGTGTGTTGACCAAAACGGAGCGATGGTGAAATTGTATGACTCGTATGTCCATCTTTTGAAGTAATCGCTTGTGTTAACTGAAGCATCCACAGGATATTCAACCTGAAATATGTTAATTTTCTAGTTTAGTCTTGAGAAACTAAGAACGAAACCAATAAGTTAAAGATTCGAATTTCTATAGTCCAATGCACAAGAAAACAAATCGAATTATAATAAAAAGGCTGGACCATACTTCACTGTTTAATAATGTTTATGCAATTTGAGCAAATGTCAATGTCAGTTCTACCTTTTCTGGAGAATCTTTACACACAAGTAAACTAATTTTGTGCAAAGAAAAAGTATACTATTTAATTAAAACATCTTTGATGTTTCATTATTACCTTTTCGTGTGTAGGAAAACAATACTTCAATAATTGTGGCACAGGTGAACCAAAATCACCTTTATTCACTTACCAATCCTTAATTTATATATATAATAATTGAGTTGTTTAGGTAAATAACATATACATGTAAATGTATGTATATCGGTATATGCAAACACTTCTTTATATAATGGTGTATGTTCACAGTAATGATTTACATCTCACTTCATTTATACAACTTTATCAAAAGGTGTAACTTCGACTAATAATTAAATTATACATATGATCTAATGATCAGAGATTATCGATTAGGATGTTACTTCGACGTCAAGAATGGTTATATGACTTTATTTGCTGCAATGAGTACTAAAATATGATTTACTGATTTAAATACTTTTGGACGTTGAATTTAAAACAAGTCTAAAAAGGGTTTAGTGACAAAATAAGCTAGACTACGATCAGTTTACGTCATTAATTATTTAAGTGAGATCATTTATTTTAACAGAGAGCAAACTAATATATAACTAAATTCAAAATTATGTTAAAAAGGAAAAGGATAGGTAAATACTAAATTAAGCAATATTTACAAACAAATAAATTTCTGTCGAGGGTTATGAAGTTACTATTCACTAAAAAGAAATAGAACAGTTAGAAAACAATGTGAGATTATTGTGTTACCTGAGAGAGAAGGCAGATCAAAGACTGCATGTGGTTTCTGCTAACAGAGTCACCAACAAACGCCATGGTTTTACCTCTCACGGTCTCAAGAAACCGAAGCGGGTCAAAAACCGGCAAGTCATCTTCACACCCGTGCGGTTTCCATTTCCACTTGATGAAATCTGTGTCGGGTCTTCCAAACCTCATGCAGTTTTGGTGTTCGTGTATCGCCCAGCACGTGGTGTTCGTGTAGTAAGGTGCCTCAGGGTTAGGAACCCACTCTCCTGAGAATATGTCGCAGCGTCCGCGTGTTGTTTCAACACTGTCTTGGAGCTTGACGATGCTAGTTTGGCTTGGATGTTGTTGCTTGAGGAAGAAGTTAGGGTCTTCAACAAAAGGGTATAGAAGAGGGATGATGGTGAAGAGAGATATGGAGATGGTTACTACAATTAGTAGCTTTTGTTTGCTTGGAGTTTTAGCAGAATGAACAAGCTCCATTGTAGGGAAGCTAGGGAGAGAAAGAGGATAGATTCTGAGGATGAAAACAAATCAAGATTATCTCAGACTTGTGGCCAGTTTGTTTATATGTTGTGAATTATTTAATCATGAACATTTTTTTCGTAGAAAAAAACGAGTAGGTGTCACATCTAAATTATGAGTTATGATTATTGCAAAATAACTTGTAGAACAAAATTAAAGTAATCAAGCAAATATAGATTAAATTCACAATGGTGATGACTATTCTTTAATTTGGACGTTTTTGTCGGCAACTTACGATAATATGATATTTAAAGCATACTTAAATAGCATCTTCTTTTCTTTCAGTGATATGTTTTTTTGATCTTTGTTGATTTGATTGCTTTGTAGGTGCCACATGATAGCTTTAAATCTAATATTTGTATTCGTTATTACTTTCCAACAGTGTGACAAACAAGCTAAGTATAATTAAGAGTCGGACACACAAACATATATGAGTTGTTTCAGCAGCCAAGTGGATTCATTTTGGCTATAGTCGCTATTACTTTAACCAGAAGGTAAAAAAAAAAAAACATTAATCTACTTGAAAGACTCTTTGTTTGCATTATGTAAAAGACCTTTTTTAAAGGCCGAAAAGTTGATGAACAATAAGGTTTTTGTAAACAATGGAGATGCCAAGTCACTGGATCACCATTCTTTAGATAAGGTTCAAAACGTTGTTGCGATCATCTGTTCCTTCTGTTATTGTTTAATGTTGCTGCCAAATGCAAATGACGATGATTTAGTTTATAAAAAGATTATTTTGTTATGGTCTTATAATAATAAGTAGGATCATTAGATGATTACAAAAGACAACTGTATTTTTGGTAAGAATATCAACATCTTTGTTAGTGTATTTTTGCACGGAGACAGTGTCTGGTCTACGTGGAAGCTTGAACACCACAAAAGTAGAGTTTTGTGAAAAGCCATCAAGTCATATATATGGTAAGTCTTGTACCAGAGTCAACAACGAGTGACGCAACAGTAACACGCCCACGATCGCCCAAAGATGCAAGAAGGGAACTACCTGACCATCCCAACACAGATATGCTTGAGTCCAATGGAGAAAAAGGCTGAAGGTCATGAGATACAGAGAGGAAGTTTGAGAAGACGATAAGGTATGTTTCAAGGAAACAGTATGAAGACAAAAGACGAAGGATCGAAAGGCCGGTTTGAACCCATTGGACTATAATCCATCATTGGTTAATGGTAAAAAGCCCAAAAATTATATCCTTTGAGTTGATTAACCGGATTTATTTTAAAACCGGTTTGAACCATATTCGTGTATAATTAACCTGGATTAGACCATGTGCAATAGGGAGTCCTTAGGAGGAATCCTTAGAAAAATATTAATTTTATAATCACTGGGTCCCATAAATAGTTAAGGATTTTATATAAGGATTGATCCTTACACTATTCATGGGTTCCACTGCACACGTGACGGTCCGTGAGTGGTCAATTTATTTTTAAAAATCTGAAATATCCTTATATAATCTGAAATACCCCTTTTTATAATGTCTGAATCCCTTTATTTTCCCGGGTTTTCACATTTTAAGCTCTCGAAATGAAACTGTATCGTCGCGAGAGTGTCTAGGGTTTTCTCGGTCTCGAGAAATCACTCTCTTTCCCCTTGGTTTCACTTGTTCAGGTCAGTTTTTTTCCTCTCCATTATGTTGCGAATTAAATTGTCTGTGAGATTGTTTCTCAGCGCCGCCTATGATCTTCCATCTTTGTCTTCTTCCGTAAGTTCATTTCGCTTTTATTCTGTTTATTTGTTTTAGCTAATGCATGAGACAAAAAGAGATAGTGTGAGACTGATGATTTTCTTCTTCAGTTTAGGGTTTAGGGTTAAACTTTTTACATTTTCCCTAATTTATAACTTTTCTCAGGTTAACAACCGTTTAAGACACTAACTTCTCAACCACCACCATGTCTGAACATCGTAGTGCTAAGCGCCCCAAAATCTCCAGGGGCAAAGATGACTTTCTCCCAGGGAACATCATCGAAATCGAGCTTCACAACTTCATGACATTCACTCACCTCATATGCAAACCTGGTTCTCGGTTAAACCTTGTCATTGGACCCAACGGATCAGGCAAAAGCTCTCTCGTCTGCGCCATTGCGCTTTGTCTCGGTGGTGAGCCTCAGCTTCTCGGGAGAGCAACTAACGTTGGCGCCTATGTTAAGCGTGGAGAAGATTCTGGTTACGTCAAGATCACTCTCAGAGGGAAAACTAGTGAAGAGAAGCTCAAGATTATGCGTAAGATTGATACAAGTAATAAATCTGAGTGGATGTTTAATGGGAGCTTTGTTAGTAAGAGAGACGTTGTTGAGGTGATACAGAGGTTTAACATTCAAGTGAATAATCTCACGCAGTTCTTGCCGCAAGATAGGGTTTGCGAGTTTGCTAAGTTGACTCCTGTGCAGCTTCTTGAAGAGACTGAGAAAGTTGTTGGTGGTGTTGGTGGTGGTGGTGATGTTCAGCTGTTGTTTCATCACCGGGAGCTTGTTGAGAAGAGTCGTGAGCTGAAGCAGCTTGAGAGAGCTGTGGAGAAGAATGGAGAGACGTTGAGTCAGCTTAAGGAACTTGTTGATGAGCAAGAGAAAGATGTGGAGCGTGTTAAGCAGAGAGAGTTGTTTCTTAAGAAAGTTGAGTCCATGAAGAAGAAGTTGCCATGGGTTAAGTATGATGTGAAAAAGCGTGAGTACTTGGATGCTAAGAAGACAATGAAGGAAGCTGGGAAGAAGTTAGATGAAGCTGGGAAGAATCTGAACGCAGTGAAGGAACCTGTTGAAAAGCTAAAGAAAGAGATAGCAGAGATTGAATCAAAATGTAAAAAGGTTAAGCATCAAATGGATGCTAATGTAAATAAACGTTCTGCGTTGTTAGAGAAAGAAAACGAGGCAGAAGCACGTGTAGTGGCAACGTACAAAGAGTTAGAGGAATTGAAGAAACAAGAAGAGCATTGCCAAGGAAGGATTCTGAAAGCTACTCAGGATCTAGCTGCTGCGGAACAAGAACTCGAAAACCTGCCTGTATACGAACAGCCTGTAGCTAAACTCGAGGAATTAAAGTCTCAGGTTACAGAGCTGCATCACAACGTAAACAGAAAGAAGAATCAGAAGGTAGACAACGAGAGGCTCTTGTTTCAGAAAAGATACACTCTGAGACAATGCATAGGTAAGTTAAAGGACATGGAGAATGCAAACAACAAACTCTTGAATGCGTTACACCACTCTGGAGCTGAAAAGATCCACGAAGCATACCAATGGGTGAAACAGAACCGTCACGAGTTTAAAAAAGATGTGTATGGTCCTGTTTTGGTTGAGGTTAACGTTCCAAATCGAGAGAACGCTTGCTATCTAGAAGGTCATGTTCCTTATTATATCTGGAGGTCTTTTGTCACTCAAGATCCAGAGGACAGAGACCTCTTGGTAAGGAATCTAAAACGGTTTGATGTCGCTGTTCTCAACTTTGTAAGCGGTGAAGAGAAACATAAGGTTCCTTTTCATGTTTCTGATCATATGCGTTCTCTTGGCATCCATTCTCGTCTTGATCAAGTGTTTGATGCTCCTTACGCTGTTAAGGAGGTTTTAACTTCGCAGTTTGGTCTTGATGACTCGTACATTGGATCAAAGATTACTAATCAGAGAGCTGAAGAAGTCTTTAAACTAGGTGTTACTGATTTCTGGACACCGGAGAATCACTACCGTTGGTCTTCCTCAAGGTATGGTGGACATGCCTCTGCAAGTGTAGAATCTGTATCTCAATCCTGTCTTCTGTTATGTGGAGTGGACGTTGGGGAGCTTGAGAAACTGAGATCAAGAAAAGAGGAGTTAGAAGACTCTGTTTCATCAATCGAGGAAACTCACAAGTGTCTTCAAATAGAGCAGAGACTCTTGGAAGAAGAGGCGGCTAAGCTTCATAAAGAGAGGGAAGAGATTATCAACGTTTCGCATCTGGAGAAGAAGAAACGTCGTGAGATGGAATCACGTTACCAACAAAGGAAGAGAAAGCTTGAGTCCTTGGAGGAAGAAGAGGACATGGATGGTTCAGTTGCTAAGCTGGTTGAGCAGGCTTCAAGAGCTAACGTTAGCCGCTATGCATACGCGATGAATCTCAAGAAACTGCTCGTGGAATCTGCTGCTTACAAGTGGAGTTACGTGGAGAAGCATATGGCTTGTATTGAACTTGAAAGAAAGATCAGAGAGTCTGAAATCAATTTAAAACAATACGAGAAAGTGTTTGAGAAGACATCACTCAAAGCTGAGTGCTGTAAGAAAGAGGTTGAAGAAAAGCAACTGGAGCTAGCAGCAGCCAAGAGTGATGCAGAAGCTATTGCAATCATCACTCCGGAGGTTAAGAAGGAGTTTAAGGAGATGCCTACAACGTTAGAAGAGCTTGAAGCAGCTATACAAGAGAACATCTCTCAAGCTAATTCGATTCTGTTTGTGAACCAAAACATACTCCAAGAGTATGAGCATCGCTTAAGTCAGATAGAAACTATCTCCACAAAGCTTGAAGCTGATAAAAGAGACTTGACCAGATGCTTGAAAGAGATTGATTCTCTAAAGGAGAAATGGCTTCCAACGTTGAGACGGCTTGTTTGTAAGATTAATGAAAGTTTTAGTCATAACTTTCAAGAAATGGCTGTTGCAGGAGAAGTTACATTGGATGAGCGTGACACTGATTTTGATCAGTATGGGATACATATTAAAGTGAAGTTCAGGGAGTCTGAGCAGCTTCAGGTTCTAAGTTCTCATCATCAATCTGGAGGAGAGCGTTCTGTCTCAACTATTCTCTACCTCGTCTCTCTTCAAGATCTCACAAACTGTCCTTTCAGAGTTGTTGATGAGATTAATCAAGGTAAAGAAAAAAAGGTGTGAAGAAAACGGTCACAAAAACATCATCAAGGTATCTAAAATATGTAATTGGTTATGCAGGTATGGATCCTGTAAACGAAAGAAAGATGTTTCAACAGTTGGTTAGAGCTGCGAGCCAACCAAACACACCACAGTAAGTTTACTTGTGTTTGTATGTTTTAGATGTCTCTTATCTGGCAAAAGTTGTGAGAAAAATTGTGCTGGGTCTTTGTCTTCGTAGGTGCTTTTTATTGACGCCAAAGCTGTTACCTGATCTGGAATACAGTGAAGCATGTAGCATTTTAAACATCATGAACGGTCCTTGGATCGAGCAGCCATCACAAGTTTGGAGCGTTGGTGATAGTTGGGGAAATCTCATGAAACGAACCGTAGCAAGTCAATGTTCTTGAACATCATCAGTATCTACTTTGGGTTTTTGGAAGAACATGGTGTTTTAATGTGTATGTTATTATTCAGTCCATCGGTCTATCTTTCTTTGGATATCAATTTGGTTAGGTAAAACCCATTAATTTTAGAGCTGGCAAACTCCTTTGAATCGTCTTATTTTGGTCGAGAAGTCGATGTTTTTGATACGGCCCTTTTGATCTGACACCGAGTGTTGGTGGGTTTCGTTTATGATTTTATTTTCACAACTGATCATCATGATTCATGAGTGTGTATATATATACTATGTTAATCTGAATTATGAGCACTGAGATCAAAGCTGTAAGGTATTAAATGACTATGATCTGAATTTTGATTAGAGATATTAGCCAGGTCTTGATTGATCGGTGTTTGTATTTACTTATATTTTGTGTTTATGATTGTAGCAGAGGCTGCTTGGTCACATTGTTGTAAATGGTGAGATTTTGGAGAACCAATGTTTGGTCTTTCTTTCAGCTTAGTTAAATGGAATGGAAAATAACAGATGATGACAGTGAATACGTACCTGTTCTTGTACCGGTTGATAGAGTTGGTTCTGAAGCAGTAACATGGCAATTCTCCTGAGTCCTGAATCAAATACTCCCTTGAAGATCATAAATATCTTATTAATCACCTAAATTATCTCTGTTTATTGTTGTTATTTGTACTGTTAGTTTTACAGGTAAGAAACAACACTATATGTATGCACATTGTACACTAACGCTATCAAGGGTTGCAGTAAAATGCTGCATTCGTGTTAAAATACAGTGAAATGGTACTAATACTCAATTAGTTTTGAAATCAGCCGAGCTAAATAATAAGAGAATCTCTATGAAAGAAATGTTGAATGCTTTTGATCCAAAAAGAAAAAGAAAATGTTGAATGCTACAACCGAATTTACCTATAACTTCAAATTTATAATTTGGAAAGCAGCATTGTCTACTGTGCATAATAGCTTTATACTTGTATTCATGAATGTCATGCAAAAGTTTTATGTTTAACACACGACAACACACATTACTAAACGTAGACATTCCACTAACTCTTGATATATATCAGTAACTTCCACCAATAACGCTAGTTATTTTAAACAGCATTTCAAAAGTGGTCGATTACTTAATAGTTTTGACAACATTTCAAAAGTGGTCGATTACTACATAGTTTTGTTTAAAAGTGAATATGCGAGGATACTTTTAATTTGGCACACTAAGAGCATCCACATCAATGAACCCCCTCTTGGGGTTCATTGAATCTTTTTTTTATTATTAAAAATTTTCTATTTTCTTTTTGATTTTTTTTTTAAAAAAAAAACAAAAAAAAATCTAGACCAATCCGGAGCCGCCACGTGTTGAACCTTAGGAGAGAGGGGTTCATCGGGGTGAACTTTAGGAGAGAGGGGTTCATAGGTTTTTGTTATTTTATTATTTTTTTTTCTTGATTTCCGTGTGAACTCTCCCCATGAACCTTCAATGGGGGTGCTCTAATCCTGTGTGAATTTTTCATTTGTTTTAAGAGGTTTGATTGAAAAAGCATGTATTATTGGTTACTTTGTTACTTTTCCACCTCGCTTTTGACCAACGCGACGAAGGTGTCAGGGTTATTTTAGTCATTGCCAATGGAATGGAAAGAGAGTTTTACTAGCACAGAATTAGATTCTCTGGGCCCAACAAGAACATAAACAAGCTCACGTTCTCCGCACCTGTCTTTTTCTTGTAAGTATCGAAATCTGAACGTGTCGTCTCAAACACGACACGTGTCACCTCACTAGTACAAGTGTCGTCATATCATTGGTTCTTTCTTTGACAGAAGTTTGTGTGGTTCAGATCTAATACGTTAATTAATCTTTAAATCTAATAATTCTTGTTTAACTTAACAAATTAATTAAAGTGATCTATCCGCTGTTATATATTTTTCGTGGCCAGGAATAGTCCTGATTCATCGCTGTGATCTTTTCGTGGTCAGGAATCGTCGCGAATATCGAAACCCTGAACGTGGGTACCTCGAAACTACACGTGTCAAGGCGTGTATCGTTCCTATATTTTTGACATTTTGTGAAGCTTATATTAAATTATAAATCCTAAACCTGAATAATTAATCTGTTGGACATTAATAGCAAATTACAAAAAGATTTGTTGCACTTTTATAATTCGTGTGGCCAAGAATCGTCACGCGAATCTCACCACCTACAATCTTTCCGCAAAAAGAAAAAAGTGAGTAAAGGGGGCTTTTAGTAAAAAAGCCCAACAAGAAGGATAAATACGTCATTTGACGGAGACCTAATAGCCTCACAAACGTAGCTGAACCTTGATCCTATATAAAGAACCCTCTCCTACTCTTAAAAGACATCACAAACTCATTTTTCTTTTCATCATCACCAAATCATAAGCGGCTATCAAATTAGGGTTTCGAGTAATTTTTTTTTCTGAGTTGAGGTTAGTTTTGTTTAACATCAGAGAGATCTATCTAGTTTTATCTTGTTTATCGATCGATTTGATTGAATCTGGTGTTTGTTTTACGTTTCAGGTTTCGTTTGATTGATATCTTTGCGTAAAGAAGAGATTGAAAACTCCAGATCGAGATCAATATATTTCATCTACATGTAAGTCTTCGTTTTTTAATTTGATCGTGGTTTTTTTTAGGCTTTAATAAGCAATTGTTAGTTAAACATAGATTTATATAATGAAATAATCTGATAATGTCTTCTTGAGATTGTATTGTTGAATGATAGGTTGTTATCATGATTAGTTTTGATGTGCAGAATGTTTTTATGTGATTATATTGTCTCATAATCATGATTATTATGTTCTACTAGTTTTATCATCTTGATTTTGATCATCTCTAACGTAAATTTTGAAACTTCTTGGTGTGTTACAGAAGAGCGTGAATGAGATTATGATGGAATCGAAAGCTGGTAATAAAAAGTCGTCGTCAAGTAGTTCCTTATGTTACGAAGCTCCCCTCGGTTACAGCATTGAAGACGTTCGTCCCAACGGTGGCATCAAGAAATTCAAATCTTCTGTCTACTCCAACGTAAGAAAAGACACCCCTTTCTTCTCATTACTTCCATCTCTGTTATCATTAAGCCTTTGTAATGTTAATTAACAATCCTTTTTTATTGTTCTTTGTTGCAGTGCGCGAAGAGGCCATCCTGAGTACCATTAAGTTTAGACAGTCCTCATAGTTTAAACTAGTTTTTTTCCAATTTCAATTAACTTTCAGTCAAAAGCTCTGCTTCCCAAATCCCCCTCGTTCTCACAATGTCAGTCTCTGCAATCGGTTTCGAAGGCTACGAGAAGCGTCTCGAAGTCTCCTTCTTTGAGCCGAGTCTCTTCCTCGACACTCACGGCAAAGGACTCCGCGCCTTGTCCAAATCCCAGATCGACGAGATCCTTGCACCAGCTGAGTGCACCATCGTTTCATCTCTCTCCAACGATGAACTCGACTCTTATGTCCTCTCTGAGTCCAGCCTCTTTATCTTCCCTTACAAGATCGTCATCAAGACTTGCGGGACTACCAAGCTCCTCCTCTCTATTGAACCTCTCTTGAGGTTGGCTGGTGAGCTTTCTCTTGACGTTAAGTCCGTGAGGTACACTCGTGGAAGCTTCCTCTGTCCTGGAGGTCAGCCGTTTCCTCACCGTAACTTCTCTGAAGAGGTTTCGGTTCTTGATGGTCACTTTGCTGAGATGGGTTTGAGCAGTGTTGTCTACTTGATGGGTGATGATGATGAAACCAAGAAGTGGCATGTTTACTCTGCCTCTGCGAAGAACTCTAACAGCGACAAGAATGTCTACACTCTCGAGATGTGTATGACTGGTCTAGATAAAGACAAGGCATCTGTGTTCTACAAGAGCGAGTCAAGCTCTGCTGGCTCCATGACTGATAACTCTGGTATCAGGAAGATTCTTCCTCAATCCCAAATCTGCGACTTTGAGTTTGAGCCGTGCGGCTACTCGATGAACAGCGTCGAAGGTGACGCAATCTCTACTATCCATGTGACCCCTGAAGACGGATTCAGCTACGCTAGCTTTGAGGCGGTGGGATACGATTTTACAACCATGGACTTGAGCCACCTTGTTTCTAAGGTGCTAACTTGCTTCGAGCCGAAGCAATTCTCAGTGGCGGTACACTGTAGCGTGGAACAGAAGAGCTACGACTCTGGTCTCTCCGTGGACCTAGAGGATTATGGATGCAGAGAGACAACTTTGGAGTCTCTAGGAGAAGAGAGAGGAAGTGTGATGTATCAGAGGTTTGAGAGGCTGGGAAGGTATTGTGGTTCTCCGAGATCTACTTTGAAATGTGAGTGGAGCAGCAACAGTAGCTGCACTAGCGAGGACGAGAAGGATGAGGGAATCTAAGCTTTTTTGTTGTTGTTTCGAATAATGCCAAATGTGTTTGTGTTTTTCTCCTTAAAAACCAGTAATAATTGTGTTTTGTTAGTGTTACAAAAAAAAAAAAAAAAAAAAAAAAAAAAAATTGTGTTTTGTCTCTGTGAATTCAGATGATCGAATATAATGAATATTGTTATGGAATAAAGAAGAAGGTTGTAACTCTGTATATCTTATTCATCACGTGCACATACATATATATACATACAAGAGAATAAGCATATTCCTTAGGAGATAAGGATTACAACAATAAAGGGGATGATTATCCTAATCCTATAATGATTAGGATAACTACAACATATGGATAAATACAAGGGAGGATAGTGACTGATG